ATTGCTGATACAAGCTATACAGATACCTGGGAAAAATGCAAAGGTCCTATGTTAATCTTGTTTATACACACTTGAAATCCATTAATCCAACCTTGCACAACCAACTGCATAATTTGCAATGTATCATTGTATAAATTCTTTTTCTTATCTCAATTTTTGCACAGTTCAGGAAAGCAGAGATCATGACATCCAATCTAACACCTGGATCCAATATCTCCTGCACCATTTGTGGTGGTAGCTTACATATCATCTCATTCTCCTGTGTGAATACTTTCTAACAGAACACTGTGCAAAAAATGCTAATTGTGTCACAAGAAAAAACTAACGTTTACAACAGTCACTGATAAATAAGAATCTTCTGAATAAATTAATGAAGCATTTTGCAAAACCTCTGTAGGTAGCATAAAATTTTTAATATTTTGTTTTCTTTCTTGTACATTTCTATTTAGCTATTTAATAAATGTTTAATAAACGAGTACTATCTAATGTATTAATAAAATGCTAGCTCTACTCACAGATAAGTTGCATAATAAAAATTATTATTGAGAGTTTAGTAATAGTAGATATAGTAATTATAGTGACTATAATTATAGTATTAACCAAGTATATTGCTTTCAAGACATCATTGTAGAAAATCTACATCTCCTATGAATTCATCCTAATTCAGGGAAGTAGACATCATTACATCCATTCTGACAAACATGGAATTGAGAACAAAGATGCTTGTTTTGTTAGTGACGGGAGTTTTAAAGCATTCTCCTTGAGAATCTCAAAAACAAATTACATAAAGAAAGATTTTCTGTTTGGTGCCATTTAAACAGGGTTTGTTGAGAGTCAATGTAAAAATAAATGTTTTTGATGTAAAAATTAGGTAAATAATTTGGTCTTTCTAGAAGAGAATAATAGACATATGGAAAATGTTATGAACAAAGGCATGTTAACTAAAGGTCTATTAAATTTAAAAGAAAAAAAAGAGCACATAGTATATCTTCAGGAAAAATCTAAATATTGCCTGTTCTGTTTTGTCTCTCTGCTACCAATTAACGTGTAACTGTTATTTGTAGTATTGGATCTCATTTGTTTTATTTCATTTTTACCCAATTATGAAGACTCAAATCATTTCAGTAGGGAAAACTAGAGACGAACAACTGCTTGATTTTGATACTAAGCAGATTAAATAATTTGTTAACTAGTTTTTTACTTAGGAACTTGGGAATAAGCATGATGATGAAGGTCAATTTTTACATAAAAATTAAGGCAGGTATATTGGACTATGAACATTTCTTCCATTACTAAAATGTTATGTGCTTTATCACCTCATTTTCTTGCTCTTTGGGTCTTGAGTGGTTATAAATATTCCAACTTAAATCTATGTACTCAGAATAATATCTCTATTAAATAATATCTGATAATTATGAATTCTTGACTTCCATACAGCCATCTCTCGTTCTATAAGTCATATGTTTAAGTAATAAAATAATACAATAAACCTGGGAACCCAAAAAAGTTCCCTTTACTACACTATTAGTATGTGCTTTCCAGACTGAGGGGGATGTTCCATTTATAACTCTCATTTGTTTCCTACCATTGTGGCCAAGTTTCCACTTATTACATGTCTCCTTGCCTTAATATTAACTTCCAGTTTGGAGCACTGTAAATGTCTCCTCCACCCCTAAATTAAAGCAAATGATATCCATTCCACATTCACCACCAATTCTACTCAAAGCCACTTCAAAGATTCCATTATTTTAAAATGAAGGACAGCCACAGCTTCCTGAAGCCAAGGTCAGCCATGTTCATAATCAAGCTGGATTTTGTATGATTTCCCTTTGATTTAAACACTGATGGCTTTTTCCAAGACATTTTTCTCTTCTCCTTTAACATGAAAACTGGCTGTTTTACTGATGTCATTGTTGCTGGTGTCAGAAAGTGGCAGGAGAGAGGAATGAGAAAAGGACACAGGTGGATTCTATCTTACTCAGTGCTGCTCAGAAGGTAGGACCCGTGTGTTTGGATGACACTCCTGTACCCTATCACCATAAAAGCTCCAAAACATTTAAAGACCATCTCAGTTTCAACTTCAATGAAGCAGTAGTGTCTATTTCTGTATCTGAGAGTGTCAATATCTCATCAAACTGTATAAAAGTGGATGGTGAGACACATAAAAAGCTCTTGAACTCTTAAAGTTTTACCTTACTCAGTGCATCTCTGTTTTGTAACTATTTCCTTAATCATTCATTCACAGTCATTGCTCTGGCCAAACATCATGATTATACAGGAAATTGATACCTCTTTTCCGCATATTTGTGCTGTGACAGTAATTTAACTCTTAAGCAGTGGAACACTGATTTGGAAGTATACTACTACTTGCCTAGGCCTCTTGCCTCACTTCTGCCTCCTTGTCTCTCATACACATGTAGAGATCATATATGTGGTGTAAAAACAGAAACCACAGTTACAGTTGCTTAGACAGACATTCTACCAACTTCCCCAGTAGTGTTGAAGAGAATATCCACCTCTCTTCTGAAGCACATACGTGCACACCCGTGCATGCACGCATACACACTAAGTTTGACTGAAGTGGAAGACGTATTGCTTCAGAAAAGACCTATTCTCCTTGGTCCCTGAGGATGTTACTAACCCACAAACATTTGAAAATGTTCTATTTTCTTGGGTCTTTCACACTTTGCTGGCTATGTGAATTTGAATCTGAGACTCTCAGGAGGTTCTACAATAAAGGAATAAGATTGCCTTTTTCCTTTGAGGGGAACATTTTTTGATGATTTTCCCTTTGCCTCAGGGTGTGGTCTTGTGCAGAGTCCTGGCCTTATACAAATTCCCCTTGATTCGCTCTCTTGCTTGGACCCAGAGTGGTTTCCCATATCTCTCCCTGCATGCCTGTCACAGAATAACCAAATGTCCAAGATTTCAGTCCTTATCACTCTTTAAACATAGAAAATATAATTCACTAATTCAACACATTTTGTAGACTTTAGATTCTTCTCTGAATACATTAGCTTTCTTCCTATAATCAGGATGTGATCATTCCCTCCCACAAGGCCTTTTGCCTAAATGGTGTTGCATCACCTTGAAGCATCCTTCATACACACTTGCATATGCACACATACATCTTTTTGGGGTTAGCCCCTTTTTATTCTTTAGGTCTGATTTTTACTGTCATGAATCCCTGAATGAAGGAGATATTATTCTGAAAACTGCAGTATCACCATGTGACTCAGTCATTGGGCAAATGGGTGTACTGGTATAAGTCAATCACTCATTGTGGCCTCTTGATGAAATCAAGATATTTGATCAATATCAGATAATATGAGTTTGCTGCTAGATAGTATACATTTTACAGTAAAAAATTAATAAGCAAATATATACTCTAAAATATTGATAAAGTATGCTATAATAAATATATAAACTAGTAACATAGTCATACTATCATTATCAAAGATTATATACTGCACATAACTACATATCTTTATATGGCTGGCAACATAGTAGGTTTTTTAATAGCAGCATCACCATGAACAGATGAGTAATAATGTGTGCCATGGCTATCACATCACTAAGCAATAGGAATTTTTCAGCTCAACTGTAATCTTAAGGCTTCATCTCTTCATATGTTATCTGTTATTGAGCAAAATGCCATTTTATGATGCATAGTTGTGCTTTTTTAGATAGGCCTTCTTTAATCACTGAAATTATAGTGTTTTATACTTGGGCATTGTTAAGAGGTTGATAGTGTACAAAACCAAAATCTGGGTTTCTAGAACTTGTACTATTGCTCTTTATCCCAAATAATTAAACTCTCATCTACTATATAATAAATATGGATCACAAACAAAATGCTACCCAGTGTGAAAATATAGAAGAAATAGCTATACAGAGAAACATGAGGGATAAGGGAGAGAGAGAAACAGAGAGAAAGAGAGAGAGAAAGCCTACTTCAGTAACTCGTTCATGAACACTTAATAAGTTACAGTTGCAGCTAAACACAGAATCCTGAAGTAATACCTAGGCCTCTATTGTTTTAGAAAGTAGAATATCTAAGGAAGGAAAATTGTAAAATTTCCCATGCCTAAAGAAACCATGGGATAACATTTTATCTTCTCTCTGATTCTATAGAATGTTCCTTGCTTGCTTCCAGAGGATAAATAAGGATTTGTGCACATATGTTACAAAGCCCAAATAAGCCTTTGTGGAGAGTGATCTTCTCATTGTTTTTTAACTTCTGCCAAGCAACTGTACACTTTAGGACTGTGACATTAAGCCTTACATATTGATTTTCAGCCTTACCATACAGCTTTTATAAGTCTTATCTTTAGTTGTCAAAATCTTGGGTTCTAACAACTTCAAAAGAATCTATTTTTAACTGAGTTTGAGAATACAACATTAATTTTAAAATAGCACTATTAAAATGCTACTTATGTCTATCTTTTAAACATATGCATGCAAAATAACACTAAATTCAATAAATAATTCTTAAGCCTCAAGTTTCTAGATGTTTTCAATTAATCTTATAGTGGAATATACTTGATAAAAAATAGGAGTTCCATCAAAAGTAAACTGACCAAAATTAAGAAAACATTTCAGCAAAATATTCTGTATTTCAACACCATATCTTCTGATATTAGAGCACCAAATTAACAAAAAAGAGCATTACTTCCATGATTACAACAGTATACTTGACTATCTGTGTTTTGTACTCCTCAAAAACCCATTGCTTTTAAGAGAATATGGGAGCTGAAGGAAGTAGAAACATCTCTACAAAGATTAGTACTTGAAAAGGATTAGAAACAGATTTTTATCAAATCATATTAGAGACTTCCACTCCCCCTCCCAAACCTGAAGAATTTACAAATACTTCCCAAATGCCTGCCATGTGGCAATCACTGTTTAATCATATTCTTAGCATCTTAAGTTATCAACATGCTTATATTACAAATAAAAATTCACATCCCAACCTATGACACGCAATGAATACCAAATACCTGCAAGGCAGTGAGGATGTTTGCTAAGGCTTGTCCGTATGTATCATGACAGTGAACAGCAAGAGCACCTGGTGGGATTTCTTTCATGACACTTTCCAACATTTTTTTCATGCTTCCTGGAGTTCCTACTCCAATTGTGTCTCCCAGGGAGATCTCATAACAGCCCAGGCTATACAATCTCTTGGACACCTGTCAAGAAAGGTGATGTGCTAGTAAAGCAATGCAAATGAATAGACAAACTCTCCTGTTTCTCAGCACATATTATCCAGAAGTAAAAACCACAGCCTAGATCAATTATATTTCTATAAAGTATATGCTTTATCTTTGCATTCCTTTCTTTGTTCATTATATTCTAGCATTATAGCAAACCTTAAATGAAGTTACTGCCATTATTTCTTTCAAAATTCTGTTTGTCTTAGATCTTACTTGTACAGCTATCTATTCCATGATGAAATTATAAGGTACCAGTTCAAATACGAGAGACTTAATAGTTCACTACACTTTAATCAAACATAAGCACTAAAATTCACTTTTAAATAGCTATTTCTTGACCTGATGTGGTTTTACAATCAAATTAAGCCACTGCTTGCAATACCACCATTCCATAACGAAGTGTCAGTTCAAGACCTGGTTGCTCTTCTTCCAATCCACCTTCCTGCTTATGAGTCTGGGAAGGCAGCCAAGGGGCCATTAAAGTTTTTTGGCCCATACCACCCATGTGGAAGACCTCAATGGAGTTCTTGGTTCCTGGCTTCAGCCTTGCCTATCCCCAGTAACTGGGGATAAATTGGGGAGTCAGCCAGCAGATGGAAGATCTCTCTCTCCCTTTCTTTCTCTGTTTCTGCCTTTCCCAAGAAATAAATTAGTAAATAAATAAATACAAATTTTAAAGGAAAATGATTTCTTCTCAAAGCATTAGAGTAGAGATAAGAGCACTAAGTAGCTTTGCAATTGGTAGGGTTACTGGATATTTCTGGATAATTTTTCTAGTCTACAAATGGATATATCAGGTAAAGTAAATCATGAGGTCTGTTGAAGACAGATCATTAATGTACTTTCAAAGCAGTATGTGACTTGCATGCACATACTATTTTGACAAAGATGGATCCTTGAATCCAAGGGAAGCCTAGATTTGAATCTTAGCTCTCACACATGCTGAATATGATAGTGAACAGGGAATAAACTATTTAAGTTTCAAGCTCTCATCCATAAAAAAGTACAGACAACAATATGTCTTCATTTAGCATATTTCTAAGCCTTAGTAACTTAATCCTTAAAAATCACAATAACAGTGGTGTCAGCAATAACATATTTGCTTGTGAAAATGAAATGGGAATGTGCAACAGTCACTTTACACAGAGTCTGGCACGTGGTACTAATTCATTCAAGATGTGTTCTTTACCGGCTGTTTCACACCAGGTGTGACGCGAGTTGTTGGGATAATGTGGAGGAACAAATACTGACTTGGCTTGTTGGGTCACGAAGACTGAAGAAATCAAGTAAGGACAGATCATAGTCAATCCCACTGGGAAATGCACAAGCACAATCTAACATTAGAAGTGAGAAACAAAGAAACAGGATTCTAAGAGGATGTAGTGAAGAAAATTGAAGGGGGGTCCTGAGCGACAACTTGAGATAAAGTAAGCGCTAAACTTACTGAAGACATGAGAAGGAAGGGTCGAGAAGAATGTTCCAGGAAGAATCAGATGTAAAGTTTAATGGGTCCCAGGCACCCAAAGTATAAAATGCAAAGAATATTCCAGACAGGGTAAAAGTCAAGTGCAAAGGGCAGTGTGATGAGAAAGCAAAAACCAAGGGCAGAGAAAGAGTTAGGAGTAGAGGCCTGAAAAGAGAAGTACCAGTTATAGTCATTTCAGAGAGAAGAGAGTGGGTTGATAACAAAATGTGTTAGAAAACCACAACAGGCCCCATTAAGGTTATTGACCTGAATTTCTAATACTTGCAGGCTGCCTGATTACATAACTCTCCCCAGCAGCACCTCAGGCATTCTGGTGCAGGAACAAAGCCCGATGATGCATGTGATTCATACCCTGGTTGTGCAGGGCAAAAAAGCAGAAATGCAAGGAGTCTGATGTTGAGAAGAGACCAACCTAGGTTTATGGGGCCTAAAGTTACACATATTGGAGGTTTCCTCGATGCAATGAAAATTTGAGTGTCGTTATTTTATAATGTGTCTGCCTCTGTGTGCAAGGGTCGCAACTAAATCATAGATGAAGGGATAACTCATTTGAGACATCCTCAGTAAATTTCAAAAGTTCAAATGAATATGTGAAATAATGGTTTTAGCTGAACTCAGTTTACCCTAATAATGCCATCTTCAATTCTTCTGTGACATATAATTAATGAATTTATCAAAATTATCAACCTTAAAAACAAATGCACATTGATAGACTTCACATACAGATGAGTTTCTGAGATATTGTATGGTATCTCAAAGATACAGCATTTTGTGTTCGTTGGTATAAATTACTAACAAATGACAGGAAGTAGCCAATGAGCCTCAATAAATGAGCCTTAATTACTATAATCTATCTCTGGAAAATCACTTGGGAATAAAAGCACACTAATCACAGCAGTAAGATCTAGAGAAGCACAAAAGAGCAACATCATCGAAGCAGTAAACACTAATGTGAAAGTCCAAGTATGAAGGAAACAAACAAGGGATGATACCTGAGAAACAGTTTTGAGTGCAAGTATACAAATTGTCCTGACATTCTGATGGAGGGTGGAACCGTCACTCACTCTGTTACAATTACATCAAGACAAAACAGATGTCTTTATTCCCTCCACCTTCGATGAGACTCAACTGTCATTTAATTCTGAAATCGTGTAGCCAATACACAGGGCTTCAGTGTTAAAGCAAAGCTATTAATTAAGTGATCAGACATATCTTTACAAATATTTGAATATTCACCCTATCTATTGCTCTCATTAGTGTTTGTTATTCAGATATAATACATCATAAGGAATATAGCTGGGTTTCAAAAATAACTTACATTACCATGAACCAACAAAGCTGGAGATGTAACTTACTTCTGTCACTTTTTGTGGTGTTATGTTTCCTTCATATGGACAGCCCAGGGCACAAGACACATACCTAAATTTAAGATACAAAAACATATGTATAGTGGATAAGATTTTTCCTAATTTACAATTTAAAAAAAAGAAGAAATGACCAAAAATCATCAAGAAAATTTATTTTGTACAATTCCATCACCAGTATTTTATGGCTAGACTAAACAAAAACAATTTTGGGGCATTTACAATTAACTCATGTTTTTCTTTTTCTAATAGTTCTTTAATATATGTTATTTGATGCCAGATGGGGATGGTATAGCAAGTATTTATATTATACCAAGATATTCACATTCAAAGTGAAAATACCAGTCAAATACATAGTTTTACTTAAGTAAGTATATATACTCAATTGTCAAGTATCCAGGTGTTTGGAATCATAAAGAAACAGCATGCAAAAGACTGAGTTTCTCTTTTTACTCCCATCTGGATGTTTTGGCATCATTTAGATGCAGTCATTAATCACCCCAGAACTTCTAAAACTGGGCATAGCTTCAGAGTTCATTTTGTTTATCTCTCATGGGTTTGCCCACATCATTTCAAACAGAAGAGTATTTAAAAGGCTCCAAATAAAGATATTCAGTAAGCTGCTTCAGCAACTCACTCTAATATAAAAAGGCAAACCTTTCCTGCAAAGATAATGATCCACTTCCATTCAAATGTATTAACCTTGAAGAAAAGCCTATTTTGGCTATTTTTAGTTCATTACCATTCCTATTTTATTAAACTTTCCTCAAAGATGTTTATAAAACTTGGATTAAAACAATATATACTGTTTGATGGTCAGGAAAGAAAAAACTGTGTGAGACAGAGAGGGGTAAAGGGGAAGGAAGCTGGGCATTTAGCTCTTTGGGCCGGTCTAATAAAGGCTTTGGATAGCTCCACCAAGCAGGTTGAATTCAGATCATTTAGAGTAACATTGGGATTCTCAAAATTATTAAGTGAGGGGTGTCAAGAAATAGAACTCTTTGGGAACACTGTTAAGTGACTGCCAGGAAAAAAGTGGAGGTAAAAACACAGGAAAACGTGTGCCAAATCTCCTTGATTCTAATGTGTTGTTGATTGGAAGATACACAATGAACTTCTCAATAGGCCTTGGAGAAGAAAAATAAAAAAATATTCAATGACAAACTACATATCAGTGATTCTCAGATGTAACCTAATTTTGTAAATATTAAAATCTGAATCTGAATAAAACTTTTATATATTAAAATAAATAAGCAGTTCTATATTCCAGGCAAGTAGTTATGAAGATAAGGAACGAGAAAGGGGCAAATTAAAATAAAATTTGAAAGTTACACTGGACATGAAACATACCTCCCTACTCCTTCAATTATTATAATCTAAGCTTATTGCTTAATCTCTGTGAATGTAATTAAGATGCATGAAAAGAAAATATTCTTCTGTGAATACATCACAGAAAAAAGTGGCTAAAGACAGAAAAAAGAGACATAGTTTCAACACAGATACCATGATTATGTTAACTTAGCGAAAAACTAAGTACAGTGATCCTGAATCCAAACATCTAGATGTGAGTAAACAGAAAATCCAAACCATTTATTTACATGTTCTCCCTCTAAATGTGAAAAGCAAAACAAAAAAATCCAAAGGCAAAACAACAAACAAACCTCTCCTACATTCTCATTGTTTGGGTATAGTTATTTCTATATTGTTAGGACCCCAACTCTCTCTGGGACAGTTTTTTGTCACAGCATTTAAGTCACCCTTGGAGAGGACTGCCTCCTGTTTAGGAGTGCCTGGCTCAAGTCTGAGCTTTGCTTCTGACCCAATTTCCTGCTAATGTACACCCCAGCAAGGCTGCAGATTATGAATCAAATACTTGGGTTCATGCCACCCACACTGGAGACCCAGATAGATTTCCAGGCTCCTGGCCTTGGCCTAACCCAGCCATGGCTATTGCAGGCATTTGGAAAGTAAACCAGCAGATTAAAGGTCTTCTCTGTCTCTCTCCAACTACCTTTCAGATAAAACGAACATAAACATTTTTTCTAAAAATAATTTACCTGTGAGGGTGTTTTCATTTTCCCTCTCATGACCTTTCAAGGACTGTGGTTTCACAATCTTCATAATCCATTGCATTTCATTTTTGCATACATTTCTACAGCCTTGTGAGTAGCTACTTGTTTTTTTTTTTTTTTTAAGATGTATTTATTTATTTGAAAGTCAGAGTTACACAGAGAGGAGAGGCAGAGAGAGAGAGAGAGAGAGAGAGAGAGAGAGAGGTCTTCCATGCACTGGTTCACTCCCCAGATGGCCACAATGGCTGGAGCTGTGCCGATTCAAAGCCAGGAGCCAGGAGCTTCTTCCAGGTCTCCCACGCGGGTGCAGGGGCCCAAGGACTTGGGCCATCTTCTTACTGCTTTCCCAGGCCATAGCAGAGAGCTGGATCGGAAGTGGAGCAGCCAGGTCTCGAACTGGCACCCATATGGGATGCCAGCGCTTCAAGCCAGGGCATTAACCCGCTGTGCCACAGTGCCAGCCCCAAGTAGCTACGTCTTAATACACATGGTTACTTCCTTCACAACTAACGTGAGAGTTCTCAACTGCATTTTTTTAACTCTACCTTAAGTTTGTGAAACATTGGGTGGCACTCTAAGGACCATAGGACAAATCTTACCCATTGCTCTTTTTGACAAAAAGATTTTATTGGAGCCCAGCATGTCCATCTACTTATACCTTATCCTTGGCTTTTGTACTCTAACAGCAAAGTTGAGTATATGGTTTCAGCATACATTAGCTGACTCACAAAACCTACAATACTACTTCTAGACCTTTCCAGAACACATGTGCCAATTCCTGTTAAAATGGTTATGCCACCTTTCCTATGGGCCCAAAAGTTTCCATGGTGATGAAAATGGGCACTCTCTGCTTTGATGACTGGCTTAAGCCAGATCTGGATTTCTACTTCTCTCAAATAATCAATGACAGCAATACTCAATCTTGTTGCACAGAGTCACTCACTGAAGTTAAAAGAACATAGCAAAAGTAGTGCTTAGGACACCCTCCAAATGCATAAAATAAGATGCTCAGGGAATGGTACCAACCAGCAATACTTTAATTTTTTTATATCTTATTATTCTACAAATGACTGAAAATCACTAACTACTAACAATACTTCCTTACTTGTATTGACTGTTTGCTTCTCTTGTGTGAAAAAGTGACAATCTCAGGAATGCCCTCACTACTCTGCACAATCCTGGCTGGTGAATAAATTTCTCACAAATTGATTTCATATAATTTTTCATTCTCCTGAACCTCCAAATTCCAACCTTTTCATTTCTTTTTAATCCCATTCTTTACTTCTGATTCAATGTTCTCTTGAGTCAAATAGAATCTTCAATAGTTCTTTCAGCAAGGCTCCTTGAATGCTAGCATTTTGCAGATCATTTTGTCAGCAAAAGCTTTAAAAACCAATTTTAGGCCGGCGCCGCGGCTCACTAGGCTAATCCTCCGCCTTGTGGCGCCGGCACACCGGGTTCTAGTCCCGGTCGGGGCGCCAGATTCTGTCCCGGTTGCCCCTCTTCCAGGCCAGCTCTCTGCTGTGGCCCGGGAGTGCAGTGGAGGATGGCCCAGGTGCTTGGGCCCTGCACCCCATGGGAGACCAGGAAAAGCACCTGGCTCCTGGCTCCTGCCATCGGATCAGCGCGGTGCGCTGGCCGCAGCGCGCCGGCCGCGGCGGCCATTGGAGGGTGAACCAACGGCAAAGGAAGACCTTTCTTTCTGTCTCTCTCTCTCACTGTCCACTCTGCCTGTCAAAAAAATAAAAATAAATAAAAATAAAAAAAAATTAAAAACCAATTTTATTTATTTGAAATACAGAGTTATGGGTGGAGGGGGAAGAGAGAGAGGGAGAGAGAGAGAGAAAAAACGCACTCCCATCCACTGGCTCACTCCTCAAATGGCTGCAGCATCCCAGACTGGGCTAGGCAACAGCCAGGAGCCCAGAATGCCATCCAGGTCTCCGACATGTGTGCAGGGGCCCAAAAGATTTGGGCCATCATCCACTGCCTTCTCAGGCGCATTAACAGGGAGCTGGATTGGAAGTGGAGCAGCCGGAACTCAACCCAGTGCTCATACGGAATGCCAGCATTGCAGGTGGTAGCTTAACCCACTCAGCCACAATACTGGCCCAACAAATACTTTTTTTGCCTGCACTGTTGAACAACAGTTGGAATAAATACAAAATTCTTTGTTGACAATTATTTGGTCTCAGCAACTGTCTGTATTCTCAATTCTTTGCTGATCAAAATAATGCTGTCAGTGTAATTATAATTGCTAATCAGATATATAATTCTTTTTCTACTTTTAAAGAATTATATTTGTATCTACTGCTCCTCTCAATTTCTAGATACTAGATCTTCAAATGCATTTCTCATGTCTATTTTCTCATGCAAATTCAAGTTTTCTGCATTAACTTCACTTTCAAAACTTTTGTTAATTTATATTTCTGGGCTTCATTTTTGCAAGTTTTATAGGTCCTACTTTCAGATCACTGTTCTCCTTTTCAACTTCATTTAATCTGTTTTCAAAGCATTTATTAATTATTTTAATAATAGATTTTTATTTTTAGAAATAACTAATGTTTATTTTGGCCAAATGCTCATTTCTTTTTATTCATAAACACCTGTTCATTTATTATTATTTGTCCCATATATATTTAAGTGATTAGTTTACATTCTTCTTTTCAGATTGTTATATTACTTTCTTTTCTGCTAAATTCTCATCTTTTCTTTTTCACTTTTGCCTATTTTAACTAAGGTAGTTTGTTTCGTTATGTGGATAACAGTGTTTATTATGAACACAAGTCCATGGTGTCTTTAATAACTGTAGGAATTCTGTGAGTCTCGACTTACTTAAATGTCTCTATTAAGAGAATCTGATTGCCTTTTGCCCTTTCCATTTAGATCTGACCAGTTCTTGAATAAGTTTCTAACCTTAATTTCTCAATTTGGGTTTCCGCAATATTCACGTATCATAAATCTAAAACTCAGAACTATATCT